TTTCTTCCAGTCACCAGGGACCTCACTGGTCTGCCAGGACTTTTCAGACGTTATGGACAGTGCCTTGGCAACTTGTCCTGGTTCCGTGTAAAAAGGGGTTCAGGGCAGGACCCACACAGAACAGAACTATGTACTCACCTCTCCCCCACCCCCTTGAGAGAGAGAGAGAGAGACACTTCAAAAAAAAATGAAGTATATTGTTCAACAAGGAACAGAAAACGAAAAAGGGAGGTAAGGAAAATATTATATACAAAGATTAGGGGAATAATGCAAAAGAGAAAATATACAAAACCCTCAGAAATGGTTCCAGCGTCCCACGGAGTGAAAGGAGAACTTTCCTCTCCGAGCTCCAAGGCAGGAGTGAAAATAAGAAACCACTCCCTGCCTCTTATCAGAGTGTGTGTGGGAAGGGGAGGGAATACAATGGTTTCACACCCACCTGGGGTCCTCCCAGTTGCTGGAAGGTCATGACGCCATTCCAAGCCTCAAACCACAACACAACTGCATCAGCCAGTTCCTTTAGCACTCTGGGGTGCATCTCATCAGGCCCCATGGACTCGTGAATGTTAAGGTTCCTCAGCCATTCAAGAACCTTGTCCTCATTGACTGTGGAGGGGGCTTTGTCCTGCTGGTCCCTGCCTCACGGGCCATCCACTTGAGAGCGCTGTTGTAGCCGCTGTTTCTCTCTGGCAACTGAGTTTTGTACTCAACCTCTGTGTTTATGTTCCTGACCTTACGCGGTAGGTAATCCTGCAGACCTCTTGCTTTTGGGTGCTTTTCAGTTTCTTCACTATGTTGTGTAACTGGTAACAAAAAAATTCCATATTCAGAAGCTGAAGTGTGAATAGTAGACGAGAACTTATTGTGGCATTCCTTGAAGCCTAAGCTGGCCTACCCACCAAAAGAAATGAAACTGTTCCCGAAAGGTGGTTCTGTGCAGCATGCAAACCACATAACCGAGTGATGAGGTCGCTCTGTAGCCTGAGTCAGCGTGACTGCCTGTGAGCAGGGTGTCTGCCTGTGGTACACAGACACTCAATCTAATTCTGTGGTGAGCCTGCAAAACCCAGATTCATCTGGTAATCATTTAAATTAATTTTGAAGGTAAATTGATCTGTCTGATCTCTTTCTCTATCCATATATTCAGCTTGGTATTTTTGAGTATCCACACTGCAATGTTAGGAACATACAAAAAGGATATTCGCTGTGTTTCAGAAGTTAAAAAAGGAGGAAGGAAAAGAAAAGCCAAAGCAACTGAGCCAAAGCAACCCAAAAAGCCTGCTGCTAAAAAAGAAAAACCAGCCAAGTCAAAAGGCAAACAAGAGAAGATCACAGATACTTTTAAAGTGAAAAGAAAAGTAGACCGTTTTAATGGTGTGTCTGAAGCTGAACTTCTGACCAAGACATTACCAGATATTTTGACCTTTGATCTGGACATTGTAATAGTAAGTAACACATAGTTGCAGCAATAGATAGAAGAGTGCATCGTCTGTACTCATTGGTTATGATTTACATTACTTCTGCTTGCTTATCTATATTGCTTATATAGCAAGATCTTGCAAGATAAAATATATAAACTATTTCCTGCATGTAGAGCTGCTTTGCATTTTCCGTTTAAAATCATGGTAACATAGTTCTAATTTCTGAGAATTCTAAGGCTTACCAATAACGTGTAGTCATGAGAGGCCGTTACTCAGCACTGTGTTTACTGGAAGCAGTGCACCCATGGCTGTAAAACACCATGAGCTGCTCTTCTGACACTGCACAGCTAAATGACACTCTGCTATAAAATCATCCATTTTTTAAAATAACGATGGAAGGTACAATTAACACAGTTTTGTTTATTGACAGTAACTTAAAGATGATTGAATAAGCATTCTCACTGTAACTTGACTAAATTCCTGACTAGCAAGCCATGTGCTCATTGTTAAACTGCCTGTTGTCTTTGTAGATTGGCATAAACCCTGGCTTGATGGCAGCTTACAAAGGACATCATTACCCTGGACCTGGAAACCATTTTTGTACGTTTTTGTTTTCCTTTCTTCTTGTAGAATTTTCAGAACTTTGTTATAACTTATGGCATTTTAATTAAACTGGTTTGGGTTTTACTTTTGCTGTTTTTTTTTTTTTTTTTTTGGGGGGGGGGGGGTATGCAGAGAGGTATTTTGCTTTTAACCATCCGAGAGTGATTTAAATCCTATAACTATTTCTGTGAAATACTGTGCATAAAAAGGAATAAAAGAGGAATAATCAGACTTTCAGTATGTGGTTAGAATTGTAATGTAAACACAGTATTACCAAATAACTTCTTGGTGTATTAGTGAGCAGCATAAGGAATAAAAATTAAATCTCTAGTACTTGACTTATCAAGGGTATGTCAGTAGGCATCAGTTTCTTATAGAAAATAAAACTACACACATTTTCTGAGAAATGCATTTCAGCAAGCCCTCTTCTCTTGCATTTATTGATCTTTTCTAAACAAGCTTTCTTACTCACAGAAAAACAAAAAACATTGGCTTTCCCCAGCAGGCATATGCATCTAGCACACTTGATTCTCCAGAGGATATTTCTTCGTAGGTATTTTTCTAGTTCGAATAACATGTTCTGCATCACCTTCTCATAAAGAAAGATCATACCTGAAACCTGGTGAAATGCTTTTTTGGATACTGGGAGCCATTCTAGCTGTGACAGTAGGAAGCTCCACATGGGCTCATTTGCAGCCCTGTGATACTCCAGCCAAAATGCTTCCGGTGTTCAACAGGCTTAGAAACCAAGCTTGGCTATTCCTCTAGTGTTCTGCAGCCTAGCCAGACTATCAGCTTCCTTTACCCAGAAGCAGAGCAGATATGTGTGCTCTGACAACTCCATGTGTTTGTGGCCTTCCTGAGTCACTAGTGGCTGCCTGCAATTAACTTGCACTTTAAGAGATTGGCAGTCACCCAATTTATACTTTTATACACAAAAAATGGATGTCAGACATGAACAGGTTCTGTCAGGGAGGCCCAGTGCAAGGAGAAGCAATGGTGAGGCTATAAGAGAAAGCTGACACGTTGTGTTTGCCATGTTCTGTCCCACAAAATCCATATTGATCACATTCACTCTCCGCTTAAGTGGATTGCAAAACCTAAAGCTCTCTGCTGAGCTTGTAGAATAAAAGACTGGTTTCTGTATGCAGGATCGTGGTGAGGAATTCCTGTTGTTCCCTAGGGATTTTCTATCCTTTTGCAGTAGATAAAGCAATTCTGGCTAGTTTAAACTTTTCTGGATAGGGCAATAGTTTTCTCAAATTAACCAATGGTCTGCTAACATAGATTCTTCCTTTAGCATTCCAGTACTCATAGTTTGGGGGTTTTGGGGGGATTTTTGTTTGGGCTTAGTTTCTTTTCCTTAGAAAGAGGCAAATGCATGTCTTCCTCCTTCACAGGGAAGTGTCTGTTCATGTCTGGTCTAAGTAAGGAACAGCTGAACCATATGGATGACCACACCTTGCCACATAAGTATGGGATTGGATTTACAAACATGGTTGAAAGGACAACACCTGGAAGCAAAGACCTGTCCAGGTAGGATAACAAGGGGGAATATTGTGCTTGTTAATGATTTAATAGTTGTGATTATAATTTTGAGTACTTTCTCTTTTAGCAAAGAGTTTCGGGAAGGAGGGCGAATTCTGATGCAGAAGTTACAAAAATATAAACCTCGCATAGCAGTTTTCAATGGAAAATGTGAGACCCTTAATTTTGAGTGAATTTGTTCTGTCAGTAGCCTTTTTCTTTTTTTTGTCCCCTTATCCAACCTTCTTTTTGTTTTAGGTATTTATGAAATTTTTAGTAGAGAAGTTTTTGGAATAAAAGTTAAGAATTTGGAATTTGGACTGCAGCCACACAAGGTGCCAGACACAGAAACTGTAAGTATTGATACTTAGAAACAAAACCAAGGCACTCCATTTTGGTTAGTTGAAAACTAATGAAGCCTCAGGACTTGCTCACACTCCTGATAACTGTTTGCCCAAAGTACAAGGAATGTGAAAGGCTTTTACTTCAATAGAAAGAAAGGGGGACGGTGCAATTTTCAGATATGTCTTCAGTGCAACTTCTGCAGACTTGCAGACTTTGTTTGGCAAATGGTGTACTACCATTAGGTTAGTGCATTCTCTGAGGACTATTTAGGATACCAAAAAAACGTACATGCTTCTGTGGTAACTGTCACCTACTTTCATATGATTCTCTGTGTCCAGTTCCCTGTATGTTTGTATTACTGAATTTTGATACCAGAGTCATGGTGCTAGTAGTGCCACGGTAAGGAAGAAGGAGTACTAAGTCCATCATTGTGCTGTTACACGCTACAGCTGCAGCATTGCTGGATCTGAGCGTGCCCAAGCACTTCCATCAGACTCATCTTCTTAAGCTGATTTGCAGCTTGAAATTAAATTGGACAGTTAAGATAAAACAGTTTGATGCAGAGTGCATTAGTCATAGACGCCTGTGCTGGAAGATATCTCAAGAGATCAGCTGTGTGTCATCACAGATAGGTTTGTTTAACCTGTCCTTATAAGCAGGGTAGGGCAAAGGCGGTACTCTGCCTGCCATGGTAGCTTATTCCGAAGCTTCATTACCTTGGCACTTCAAAAGTTTGGGTTGTGCTTATTTCTATCCAAATTGCTTGTGCTGCAAGCTTAAGCTCCATTTGAGCTGTCCTTCTCTGAAGGCCAAGTGTTGCCATCAGAGCCTCAAGAACTGTTGATGATAAAGTGCTTGTTTCTTAAGTAGCTCTTAAAGACTTCTGCGGTAGATGTGTTTGTCAGAAAGATAAGTAGTTCTCTTTACTAGTACTCGTTCGTAAATGCTGCATGGTGGTAAAAGCATGGGATTGGTAATTAAAAGTATTGGATCTGACTGACTTTTATGCCTTTAGTTAGGGCTGTTGGCAGAGACAGAGATGCTTGAGCTGCCTTCAGCCACGCTGACGCCAGAGTTTCAAAGCCTGGTGAGCATGATGCACATGCTTGGCCTAGAAGCCAGGATAATTAACCTGTGGTGCCTCCCTCACCGGTTTGGGGTGTTTGCATGCTGTCATGTATCCTCTGGGGACCTTGTGGCTCAGAGCTGCCCTTGCTCAGGGAGCTCTGGAGCATGCTGCACTCCCTGGCATACACTTGTTAAACTGTGCTTCTTGTAACATGTCCTAGTCCTGCTTCTCCTGCAGTACATAAACCACTTGTGAAAACTGTCCTCACTTCAGCAGCTTATATTCAGACCCTCTCTTCAGGGCAAGACATGCAGCTGACCAAGAAAAATTAAAGGCTCCTTTTATCCTCTTCCACAACCACCCGTGGCATTAGTGGAAGTCTGTACAAAGGGCTAAAACAGCGAGCTTAACCGTCAGGTTATTCTCGATGCACTAAGCATGAGCCCATAGCTCAGGGACCAGTAATGCTGTTTCTCTCACGCTTTGTCTCAAGCTCTGCTACGTTATGCCATCATCCAGTGCAAGATGTGCTCAGTTTCCTCGTGCACAAGATAAAGTTCATTATTACATAAAGCTGAAAGACTTAAGGGATCAGCTGAAAGGCATCGCACCAAACACAGAGGTGCAGGAGGTGCAGTACACGTTTGACTTGCAGCTCGCACAAGGTATAGTGTTGATTTTGTTAATCCTTGATTAAAACATAGTGTACAACATGAGTAGTGGCTTCCCAAGCAAAAGAAAAGAATTCAAGGGGAGGGAGGTGATGTGCCATCTTCTCTAAACTGTGTGATGTGGAAATACAGATTCCGCTCTTTCTAGTAGTCTTAATTATCTTAAGGGGAGCAGGGATTGTCTTATGGAACGCGTGGCTGTGTTTTCAAGAGCTCTCTAATGAAAATGCTCTTTGACCATTTTTATTCTGCATGTTAATACTTGAGGCCTTCTCTTTTGGCAGAGGATGCTAAGAAGATGGCCGTCAAAGAGGAAAAATACGACCCGGGTTACGAAGCAGCATACGGAGGCGCTTACTGCGACCCTGCTCCCTACGAGGGCGAGCAGTGCAGCTTCTCCTCGGACGGGACAGGTAACGTGCAGCGCTTGGGGCATTCCCTCTGCAAGCCAGTCCTTAGTCACAAACACCGAGCAGTATCGACTGCTTTGTAAAACCGCTGTTTTGTTATTTTCCCTTGGTTTAGCGCCGGGCAACGCGCAGTACTGCGAGGGCTCCTCCTTCGGTGCGGCTCCTAACGGACAGTGGATGGCGCAGCCGTTTGCAGAGCAGCTGCCGGCGCCGGGCGCTGGCGCGGGGCGGGAAGGGGAGGGCAGCAGCGCCTGAGGCCGCTCCCCCTCTCGGGAAGGGGAGGGCAGCAGCGCCTGAGGCCGCTCCCCCTCGGCTGCCCACACCTGCCGCAGTTTTAATGCGGTGAGCAAGAGTCGTACCTCGGTTCTCCAACTGAAGCGTTTTGATAGGATTTTATCTCCCTTAGTTATTTTATTATAGTCCAAAGTAAAGTGTGTGGTAGGCTGAAAATCAAGAACTAGATAATTTTAAGGAACTGTCCAAACTTTTTAAAAAAAAGTTAGTCCTTTTTTTGTATATGAGTTTATATATATTTAATGTATACTGTTTCTTGCAGGTTTTGACAAACTGCTTTCTCATTTGTGAAGATTTCTTTTGGGTGTTAATTTTATTCCAGGAATTGTGATGTAGCAGTAACAGCAGCAGTATACTTTTTACTGATGCCTCAATGTTTGGGTATCTCATAATCCTTTTATATCCAGAGGGGAAAATGGGAAGCATACCCTTATCTTACACGAAGTGGTGTTTTTAATCATGGACAGTTAAGCAAATTGTGTTTTTTCAGTCTGCCTTTTAACTTCTTAAAAAGTGCAGAAAATTGTTTTCTGCATCTGTGAGTACTATTTTTTGGGTGGGAAGAGAGAGCTCTGTCTGTGTAGCGATTGGACCATATTCAGGATTAAGGGAGCGGAGACGACATCTCAAGTCACAACACTGGGGAGGAAAATCTCTTGATAAGACAGGGCCTAAATATTACAACTGAGCTGTCTTGGGGTAACGTGTCCCTACCACTCCATCTCTTTCCCCCTTAAGTTCCAATGTAAGGAACTGGAATTCCTTGGGGGAAGAAAAGGAAAAACAAACTAACAATGGTGGTTCTTTAATTCTGTGGCATTTAAACTCTCAAGTCATTCCTGTGTGATGAGTCTCTTCACCTGACCTTCAGCCGGAGAGAAGTCCTTTGAACAGGTGATGCTGCAGGGAACTGAAAGACCCCCTTCCCTGTAAAAAAACATGTGTAGATAAGTCAGGTACAACTAGCATAGGGTGAAAGAAGTTTGTGATTTAGCAGCTGCTAACCTTCAGTTCTCTTCAGTCTATAAGACCTTAGAGGGCATTCTCCTTGTTCCTTTCGCAAGTGGAAAATACTATTAAATGCAAAGGCAACTGCTCCATGAATGAGAAGTCAGCTGTAGAAGCCTCAACTCTCTTCTGAGGAACTTGCTTAGACAAGACACATTTTTGGCCAATATGAGTGACTGAGAAAGAAATGAGACTCCATGCTTGTGCCCAATTGTCATCTTCTTTCCCTCTTCCCTCACATGAGGTAAAAGCAATAAGTTGATCAAAACGTGACAGTTTTGATGATCTTATGACAGTTGGTGCTTCACATACTTGAAAAACTGATACAAACAGTATCTCCACGTTGGTCAGAGATTCCTGTACCAGTGTGTTTTGTCCTCTCCTCACAGCCAGTGACAGCTGTCATGCATTGAGTGTAACAGTTAGTGTCTGGGTTCTAATCCTGCCATCGCAGCTCTCGCTGAGATCACACACTGTCAACCTGTGAGGCAGGCATGATGTTTACAGTTTTCTTCCCAAATGATGTGGCTTAATTCTGAGCGTCTTAAATGGAGAAAGTGTGCATTACGATTCTGATTGCATCGATTAGCTTCAGCATAAAGCTGTTCTTAATATTGTCAGAAAGGTATAGGACTTGTCTCGTCTTATTTTAATAAGTGTACTGTATCATGTATTGCTGTTTACATGGATGTTTTCCTGCAGGTGCTCAAAGCATCTTGCATCAGGGATTTGTTACAATTCAACTTTATTTTTCAACAAAACTAGAAGCATGTAATTAGCACTGCTGAGTACGTAGCACAGTAGCATGTAACTACTGTAAGACTATCCTGGTTGATGGGAAGGGGAAGGTCTCTCCTTTAAATGGAGTCACCCACTGAGTTATCTAGGTATAAAATACAGTTAGTTGAGTGTACATGACCATTTTACTAAATATTGCAATCCTGTGTGTACTCCCTCAGAACTGGTGCTCTTTTCATTACAATAATACAAAAGTTCTTCAACTGTCTTAAATCTGTCACTGTTTCACAATAAAATCAGGAATTGTACTGTGGTGTCTCAGAATGTGCTTTCACCTCTCACTAGAGCAAGGGTCTAAATGTACTGCAGGAGATGTGATACACAGAACTGCTACGACACAGTCACTGGGCAACAGAACTCTACTGATAGACATGCTCCTTACGTTTTTCCGTTTTAGACAACTAAAGTCACCTTGTATGTAATACTGCAAGTATTTCCTGTGTAGATTCTTCTGCCAGCAGACATTGGAGTCTAATTTATGAAGACCTGATATTAAAACATACTGTCTAGCACTGAATTTCATCCCTGTAAACATCTAATACTTCATCGTCAAGTAAACTTGGTGCCTCACCTTACCTGAAAGTCAAGATCATCTGAACTGCACAACTGCCACTCCAGCCTCTGTCCGCAGCCACAGGGACACAAAACTGATGGTCACTTATTCATATATTTAACAAATGCTTAGTTTTCTAAAAATCAGTTAATTATACAATATGTTGCATCTCAAACTATTACATACTGCAGTGTATGGGTGTATTTAACTGATTTCAGTATCAGCTATCAGGACGAGTTAATTTGAACTTCCCTGAAGGGTCAGGAATAAACCAGTTTTCCCAGAGATCAGTGTGAACACTGGGATAGTCCCAAGGTTTGTATCTCCCATTCCAATGAAGTAATTTAGCTTCTTGAAGGAAATGCTCTGAGTAACGGGTATCAGGACTCCAACCTGCATGGGTAAATTAAGAAAAAAATAGGAAAAGAATCCAGTTTTTAATAATAGAAGACACTAGAGGTAAATTCAGTGGGTGTTTTTAAGAAGTCTGATTCGTATGGTTTCATTTGCTAATAAACAACTAGTTGTATAAAAAAACTATCTGCTTTTTTCAGCTTCATGTCTAGAGCTGCATCAGCAAAAAATTCTCAGCAAATTTCCTAACACTTTTTAACATCTTGGTATATAAATTTTTTTAAAAAAAAACACAGACACCTTTTACTGCTCATTTTACTATATCAGCTAAGCCATTATCTTTTTCCCAGGATAATTCACCATTCCCCTGTGAAAGGTAACAATATCCTTCAGAATGCTGAGTAGACAAACGCCACCAGGCATCCCATCATCTTCCACTGTGCCTGCTAAAGAAGTGTGATTTTTTTTTTTCAGTTTCTCACTATATTCAGATATTTAATAGATTGTTGCTCTGGTTTATGACAACATAGATTAGCTTGTCTTCAAACATGTAGTTTTGTCCTTGGTATCTGGGGTTTTTCCCTTTTTTTTTTTTTTTTTAAATTCAATTCAATGACTGTTAGAGATTTGGTGTTTGTGGTTTTTTTTTTGGTGGAGGTGTAACTGCTTTGTTTGCCTGTTAAGATATTTGTGTAATGATACCCGTGGGGAATCTTCACCTCCTGCCCTACCCTGAAGAATGCAGAGCTAATGAGCACTGGGGGAAGCCAGGATTACATACTACAGATTCTGAGGTATAAAATAATGCATTGAGGTCAAGTAACATAAGGCCCATTATGAGGCTCTTACAACCCACTTGCTTTATTTAGCTCTGACTGCAAAGGGTGGGAAGTTAAACTTACCAAGGTGCCGGATGTGCCACATAGGATTGATAGCGGAATACTTGCCGTGGAACACAATCAGCATTGGAGAGGTCGCCACGCCTCCCCCGAGGGTGCTGCTGTACAGGTTTTCCCTGCAAAAGGGAAAAAAAGCATTCCAAACATCAGTCAAGGAATCTTTACTACCATCTTTTGTAGTAGAGATCAAAAATAAATCTTCTGGCAAAATTCAAAATCATTGTGAACAGGTGACTTTTCAGCAGAGTCCTTCCTAAATGTGTTAATTGCTTTTATTTGCAATGCCAATGGCTGTTGAGTGAATCATTGCCACCAAGCAAAATGGGAGTCAGACCCAACATGATGCCAATTACTTCCTCACACTGCCTATAGGCTACAAGGCTGACAAAGCTTACAGCAGAAAAAAAGCTGTTACCATACAGAAATCAAAAATATTTTAGCCTGCTTTTTTCAGAAAGTGTAGATGTTTCCATGTGTCTCATTCCCTCTTTCTTCCTCTTTCCCCATCCCCACAGCTTTTAGGCCCACAAATTAACTTCAAATCAGATTTTGCCAAAGTCTAGTTAGTATAACATCTAAAGAATATCTTAATAATCATTAATTTTGTGATCCATCCAGGGCCAGATAAAGCCGAATCACTGTAAGGAGAGGCATCAGGAGGTAGCAGCCAGATGCCTGGCCACAGTGTGCACACAAGTAAAAGCCACCCCAGCTACGGGACACTGCCACCCACCAGCCCAACAAGGAGGGAACCTGGGAAGTACTGAGAGATGCTTGGAGGCCACAAAATAGAAAAATATCATAACTTCCCCTCAAAACTGGGTTTCAACTGCTAAGCAACTTATTTCACTGTCATTTCAAAATCCAGCTAAAAAGAACATGAACATGCTATTGAAATATAAAAGCCAGCTTTTTAAGGAGAAAATTGGCTGGAATATTCATGGAGTTTTTTCAGACTCTTAAAAAGCACAGCAACAGCTTGGCAGGATACGTTACATAAGCAGGGTAAGAGAAAGACATTTGGCTTTTCATTCCTTCATGTGCTTACCATTTGTGTGTCTCCTCTGTTCATTACTGAAACTAACAAGTAATGGCCATAGTCCAACAGCACAATCTGTTCAGCTTCAGTTTAGCCTCACTAAATTTAAATTTAACTCCTTACAGAAGAAAATAAATGTCAAGTTTGCAAATACAGGTTCAGAGCGAACTAACAAAAAATGAACAGTGACTATTTCACAATGCCAACAAAGATATCTTTTGTGTCAAATTTCGTTCACCTATTAAAAAAGAAGTGTTTTGTATTGGTATTTAAGAAATACGGTGTCCAGTTACAGAGAGAGACCACAAAAACAAGGAAACATTCCTCCTTCTTTATGCCAGCCTCACAAAGGAAAGATCACAAGTGGCTTGATCACACATAAGGTTGGTCACCCAGCAAGAACCATGTGTTCTCAGTGGCCCTCAAGACTAAGTGTGGTTTCTGATTAAACACGAGACTAAAATTTCAGGCAGCCATTTCCTGGTACACAGCTGGTCAGATTTAAGCAGACAGAAATTCTGGTACTTGAGTTACTTCACTTGATGAGATCTCAAAGAAATACCATTTGGAGTTAAACTTTTTACAGCTTTTAAACAGAAAATTGTAAGCTGATTATTAAAGTGCAAAGCTAGATTTCTACACGTACTCTACATTTCTTTGCATCCACTTTTCCAACTGCTTTGTAATCCGTTGGCGTTTCCATTCAGTCATGTTAGCAACAATTACTCCAGGATTGAAGGAGCAGGTGCTGGGGCTGATGCCAAGATCTCTAATCGCTTGCTTTCTGTAGTCCAGGAATCCCATGTACGTGTTCTATGAAATAAAAAACCAAGTAAGTTTATCCCCTATGAATCTCTCCAAAGATAAGTGTAAATGCATCTCTCTGCCACTCCCAGGGAGACAAGATATGTGCTCCCAAAGCTCAGTTTCTAGATAGATGGTTACTTGTCTTGATTTCCCTATGACACAAGGCTGAAAGCTACTGAATAGCTACAGATACTTTCAGCCACTGAATTGCTTTTTCCACAGCATTGTTCTGTGGGAGACTGAGAAAGCTCTTCCCTCACCACATGTGTGTCTTCTGTAGATTACTCTAAATGCTGTAGCATCACACTTGTACAGATATAATGCCAGAGGGACTCACTGACCAGTCTCGGAAACTCAACTCAGGAATTAGCCTCTAAACTTGTTTTCCTAGGTTTAATTCCCAGTTTAGCTGATACAAGTATAATCTATTCTGTCTTCATTAGATTTTCCATAAGTGTTCACGATCTACTGACAATACAATACCAAACATAATTCAGCAGAATCCAAAGAACAATAGAGATTTCAATAATTACAGGAAATAACTCTGCAAAGCATTACAGAGTTACTACAAAAAGTAGTTCTTAATTACCTGTCAAACTATTATAAAAGTATATAAAAAAAAAAAAAAACAAACACACACAAACAAACTTTCACTTTGGAGAAAATGTATTAAATAATTTTACTTTTGTAGGTAAGTATATTCATTATTAGCCTTCAAAAATGGCACTTTACCTGCATCCCTACACTTCTAACCATTTCATGTGTAGAAGGAAGATCACAATCATCTGAAAATGCTGCAGCATGTCCAGGAGCTAGCTTGGTATCATAGAGTTCCTGGATGTCACCTGATTACAGACAGATCAAAAGCATAAGAAGAAACATCACTGCTACACAGCTGATAGAATAACTTCTGTTCTTGTAGATGTTACTTATGAACACACACATTTTAGGGGATAGCCCAGATATTAACGCAGGCTGAATTTTGTAATATGGGACAAATTTAAAATTTAAGTCCTGTACCTAGATGTCTAACACTTATCTTTAACTGTCATCATCAGTGTTCAATACATCCATATTCTGGTCTGAATGTCCAAACTCAGCTGCACCAGAAGCCATTATACTGTTAAGCAGAAAGTATATAAAGTTTTGCATACAAAGTTTTGCATACAAAGCTCCAGGCTTGCCTTTGGAGAGGCAACATTTCTGAGCCTCTTCAAGTCCCACAAAAATTCCACTTCAACCTCTTGCACAGATCACGTTTTTCCTGGTGTTACTATGTTTGTACAACCCAGTAAGGTTATCTGGAGTCCCCCCACTGGCCAGCTGAAATATGCCCCTTACACTAGGCCATCCCTGCTGTCTTTACAGCCCACCCAACTCCTTCCTGACAGAGGGAAATAATGTAACTCACTCCTCACCTGACTAGCAAGCACCCATGATGTGCCAGAACAGTTTCACAGCAGGTTGATTTGCTCAATTCAGCAATTGAGTGAGTCCACATCCAAACTCCCTACAGCTACCAGATTTGATGCTGGGTGTGGGTCAGTCAGAGATAAAATTACTTATCTTGGAAGGCCACATATGGCCCAGCAGCCTGAGGTGAGCTCATTAAAAGACGAGTAACTGAAAACATTCCCCATACTGAAAACACTGCAACGACCATTTCTGAAATAAGCGGAGATTATTTGTTCATCTAAACTCATCAGCTGTCTGGAAAACCTGGTTTAGGACTCATGTCCCACCAAGAAATAGAATTTGAATTAATGGGACAGTTGTTGAAGACCAACATAGATTGCTAAATATTTTCTCCTGATTCTAAATAGCTTCTGCTTTTCAAGAGAAAAGGTGGGGAAAAGAAAAGGGGAGGAGGGGATGGGGTGGGGGAAACCACACCACCCAAACAACACAAAACCCAACCAATTCTGGGCTGACACCCCAAGTTCTGGATGTTATACTCTTACTGCTTTGGAGAAAACAATGACCAGCAAATAAACAATCCCAAAGTTAAACCCTGAAAACCCCATTCAGACCCCAGCAAGTGTGTTCAGTCCAAAAAAAAAAAAAAAAAAAGGGTGGGGTTGTACCACTAGTCCTCTGCCAGGTCAACCAGCTGAACCCGCTTACTCTGCAGCTGCACAAGTGCAGCTATGACAGAAGTTACAGGAGCTGCCTGGGGACAGAAGAGGCCACTTCCAGCAGCAGCTGCCATGTGAAACAGCACCTTTCTCCTGTGGCCCCAGAAATGCTGTCAGCTGACAGAAGCTGACACCTGGAATGAGAGAGGAACCCTGACCTCCCCTCTTCTAACTACACCACCTTGACCCCTGCCAGGGAACTAATTCAGGCTGAAAGTAAGCATGTTTCTGAGGAAGGCCTGCCCAGGTGCAAGGAGGGGTGCAGGGGAAGTGGTGGGCTCAGCTTAAGCTGCTCATGAAACCGGAATGTAAAGAGTTTAAGAACCTTTCAAAGAGCTAACTATTGCTGTTGCTTATCAATGACAGAGAGAACAAGAAAGCTAAAAAGCAGAGATAACCACTGGAAACACAGATGAAGAAGAACTGTGATATGAAGTCTGTTCAAATTAAAATAAGAGAGGCAGAGCAAATTAATCATATTTTATACAGCAACTAATAGCAGCCCCTTTAAGTGCAGGTCTTCTGAAATCTGCCACTAAAGAGGCAAAATTATAAAAAGGTGCAGAGAAGCAGTGAAGAATAAAATTAAACTTTTGTCTTGTGTAAATTCACTGATCTTAATGTTCTTTCTTACAGCAAGACTGATTCAGGCCAAAAAGTTTATTATAGTTATACTCAGTCCTTTACAAAGGAAAATTTAATCAGAACATCTCTTTAATATTCAACAAAGAGCAGCAAAATGGGTTTTGTTGTTCCTCTGTACTGGGCCCAGCTAGGACAGAGTTAATGTTCTTCATAATGTGGTGCTGGGGGTTCGATTTTTGACCAGAACAGTACTGAGAGCACAGTAATGTTCTGGCTCTTGCTCTACCATGGGCTCCACAGCATCAAATCTGCCTCTATTTCTCCCCCTGCCCCCACAGTAAATAGATCAGGGGGTGTGCAACAGGCTGCAAGGGGACACGAGTGGGCAGATCACCCAACCTGACCAAAGAGATATTCCATACCATGTAACATCATGCTCAGCAGAAAAAGGGGAAAGAGGGAGGTCTTGGGGGGGGGAGGGGTTTACCAGCTTCTGCTTGGGAACTGGCCTGGCCTCGGCCTGCTAAGCGAGAAATCACCTATATATCACTTGTTCTGTTTCATTTTTTTCTCCCTTCTTCCACTTACCCTTCACTTATTAAACAATCATTTGTTTTATCTTGACTTTCAAGTTTTCTTGTTTTTATTCTTCCTTTCCTCTCAGCCCACCCTGGTAGGAGTGGGGATGGGCAACGCGAGTGAGCCACCACGGGGTGCTCAGCTGCCCACCCGGTTAAAATACAACTCTGATTAAAAAATGTTATAAAATAACATGAAAACAATATGATAAAACAAGGGAGGACAACAATGCTACAGATTAAAAAAATACATATACTGTAAAACGGAAGAGGAAAAAAAAATTATTTTTTTTTTTAAATAATCTGGATTTCTGTGTATGAAAAAAAGGGTTTTCAGGATTTTAACATCTTCTAACTGTTCCCATTTGTCTAGAAACTCTGAAATCTTTGATCATGACTCTGAAAATTGCTATAGATTCCGAGTTGAAGATGCTCAATATCATATTTTGAGAGTTTGGAATTTTAAGCCTCTTGAGTACATTCCTCTCACTCTCATGAACAGCAATTCCAGATAAGGAACTGGTAGCACATGTGGGAATTCGAATACTAGCAGGAAATGCACATCACTTAACAAGTATTGCAGTATCCAAGTGAAATTAATGTCTTATCTCTTTCAGCAACTGACCAGGTTCAACTAAAATGAAGCACATACATACAATTTTCAAAACCAACTATTCCAAAGACATGAAGAGAAATTCTTCTTCAGACTTTCCTTTAAATAAGCAAATGCACTATTTGTAGTTTTCCAGTTTTTCTAGCAGCTGCCTCAGTTTCCATTATATCTTGTATTTCCAAACAACTGCAAAAGCTGGAATAACTTTTATTTTAACCCTCCTAGAACATGTTTTTTGGACAACAGCTTACCTTGAACAATGACATCATCATCCAAATATATTACTTTCTCATGTTGCTGGATAAGCAAAGGAAGATAAAATCGAACGAAGTTCAGCTATTAAACAGAAAAAGAAAGTAAAGGCTAAAGAGTAAGGCTGTTAAATGTATTGGTCTCATGCATCTGCCTCTATTAACAAGCACTTTTAATTTCTCTCTTAATTGAGAACTTGCCAGTAATCATTTTCTTCCTCCCTGCCAGCCTTACTAGTAGCTTGTATCCGTTATTCTCGTTATTATTTATCCCTATTTTATTAACTATGGCCCTAACCAAGCAGCCCAAAACTGTTGCTTCTTCACAAAATCACAGCATTGTTAAGGTTGGAAGGGGCCTTTTAAGGTCAACTTGTCTGAGCCCTCTTGTCCAAGCAGGTTGCCAGGGACCATGCCTAGCTGGGTTTTGAATTGCTCCACAGAGGGAGACTCAACAGCCTCTCTGGGCAACCTGCTCCAACGTTTGACTACTCTCACCATTTAAAAAAAAAAAAAAAAAAAAAAAAAAGTATTTTCTTGTGCCCAGAGAAAATTTCACGTAATTTAATTTGTGCTCATTGCCTCTTTTCCCTCCCCTTGGGTATTGTCCTGGTTTGGTGTAAAACAGAGCT